TGTCATGCGGTTTGACGTTAGACGTGCAGTTGTGCTACATGCGACTGCATTTTTTAACATAGTGACCTCAAAATCCCCTCACTTGAAGAATTTAGTGACTGTTTTTTTTTTGCTTTATATCTAGGATTTCATTTTAAATGATAAAGGTATGCTGTTTAACATCAGAGTTTGTTTAAAAAAGCTTCCAAAAAATGTTCCACCCTCTCCCCACACCCTCTCCCCTTCTCCCCACACCCTCTCCCCCTCTCCCCACACCCTCTCCCCCTCTCTCTCACCCTCTCTCTTAGCCTCTCTCTCCTCTCTCCCTCACCCCCTCCCCCTCCCTCTCTCTCTCACCCTTTCACCCTCTCACCCCCTCTTTCTCTCTCTCACCCTCTCACCCTCTCACCCCCTCTTTCTCTCTCTCACGTTCTCTCTCTCTCTTCCCTCGGCAGCCGACCGGACCACACTTTGCGAGTCAGCAGCTGAACGAGACTAACTGGATCGTCGCTAACTGCACGACGCCCGCGAACCTGTTCCACGTGCTGCGGCGGCAGATCCTGCTGCCGTTCCGCAAGCCCCTCATCCTGATGACGCCCAAGAGCCTGCTGCGTCACCCCGACGCACGGTCAAGCTTCGACGAGTTCACAGAAGGTGAGTGTTGTCACGTCGTGCGTGCGTGCATGCATGCGTGTGTCCGTCATGCGTGCGTGCGTCCGTCGTGCGTGCGTGCATGCGTGCGTGTGTATGTGCGTGCATGCGTGTACGTGTGTGCGTGTATGTATGTGCGTGCGTGCGTGTGCGTGTGTGCGTGCGTGCGTGTATGTATGTGTGTGTGTGCGCGTGCGTGCGTGTGCATGCGTGTGCGTGTGTGCGTGCGTGCGTGTGTGCGTGTGTGCGTGTGTGCGTGCGTGCGTGCGTGCATGCGTGCATGCGTGCACGTATTTGTCTGAACACGGACACCATTGTCACACATGTCGTCATCATTATCACACATATATTGCCACCGTTGTCACACATATATTGCCACCATTGTCACACATGTCGTCATCATTATCACACATATATTGCCACCGTTGTCACACACACACGTCACCTTTCCGCACGCAGACTCTCTCTTCCACCGGGTGTTGCTGGAGCAGGGAGCGGCGAGTGAGAACCCAGAAGCCGTGCGTAAGCTGCTCTTCTGCAGCGGTAAGGTCTACTACGACCTTGTGAAGGAACGCAAAGATCGCGGCCTGGAGGATGCCATAGCCATAGATCGGGTAGAGCAGGTACGTATGCGCGGCCCGCGAGCGATTATATTATTTTATTATAAGTATACATATATTTGGGTATCAGGTAGAGCATAATGTTTAATTTTCTTAGGTGTCATTTGCTCTTCAACAAAACAGCTTTGACGTGTCGCCAAACACACCGATAAGAGTATCGATAAAGTGACAGTATACTTTGACAACCCCACCCATGTGTCGTACACTATTCTTTATCTTTTCTTGGCATTACTTCTAAACGAGCTGCCTCTTCCTTCCCAGAATGTTCTCCACTCGCTCGTTACTTTCCCTGCTTAATACCGTAGCGGTTCGTTGCTAATATGTCTCGCATTGTCTTGCAGATCTCACCCTTCCCGTTCGATCGCATTGAGTCGGAGGCTACCAAGTATCCGAACGCTCAGATTCAGTGGGTGCAGGAGGAACACAAGAACATGGGCGGCTGGGCGTACACGGAGCCCCGCATACTCACCGCGCTCAACCACAAGCGAGGAGTCAGGTATGGGTAGATGCACTTCTCCCCCTCTCTCCTCCTCTATCTCACCCTCTCCCCTCCTCTATCTCACCCTCTCCCCTCCTCTATCTCACCCTCTCCCCTCCT